TCAAGACACCAAGACGTAATGAGTCAAGACGTAATGAGTAGACGTAATGAGTAACACCAAGACGTAATGAGTAACATCAAGACCACCAAGACGTAATGAGTCAAGACGTAATGAGTCAAGACGTAATGAGTAACACCAAGACGTAAGTCAAGACGTAATGAGTAGACGTAATGAGTAACACCAAGACAAGACGTATGAGTGTGAGTAACACCAAGACGTAATGAGTAACATCGTAATGAGTAACATCAAGACGTAAGGAGTAACACCAAGAGGTAATGAGTAACGCCAAGAAGCCATGAGAAACACCAAGACGAAATGAGTAACACCAAGACGTAATGAGGGAACACTAAGACGTAATGAGTAAGACTAAAACATAATGAGTAACACCCTCATAAAAAAACTCACTTCGCATAGGCCTTCTCCAGCAGCGCGCACCAGAACTCGTTGTCCGTTTTCGAGTGCATGAAGACCAGCTGGTTGTGGTAGGTGGGCAGCATGTCGTCTATGACCACCTCCTCCCAGCGGCCGTACTGCCAGAACCTGTAGAGGAATAGGGGAGGGGGGGGGGTTATGCGGTTGTTGAGATGATTATGGTGGTGTGTTTTTCATGTCATTTTCATTTCTTGATCTTCCTTTTCTCCTTTTCTTCATTTTCGCATTATCATTATCTGATTATTACTATTATTCATCACTGTTGTTGTGTTATGGCTATCATTGCTGTGATCATCACTACAATCATTACTCTTATTTCCATCATCAATATTAGTATCAATATCATTACTACCCTCAGTACATGAATTCAGCTCAAGACTAAATCAACAAAGTAAATTCCACCATAAAAAAAATAAAATAAAATAGACAGAGCGGCTTTGTGGCACTGCCATGTGTTGCCGAGGTGCGGTGGGTTGGCACTGGCCCTTATAAAGAACTCCTTTGGTCAGCCTCTGAAGACAAGATCTACGGGCAGCTTTTATCGGTCAGTGAGACTCGGGTGACTTTCCAGGGTCAAAGGTTAATGGTTAGTGTTGACATCTGGGTCGCGCGAGTGATTTGAGACTCGGCAGACAAGTTCGTGTGTCACCTCTGGCAGCGTGTGTGGAGAATGCGTGTCGCTTGTGTAACTCTTGATGAAAGAGAAATAATAGTAATGATAATGGGGATGATAATGATGTTGATAATAATAATAAATAGTGGCGGTAATGATAACAGCAACAATGATGGTGATGATAACAGTAATATAAATGCTGCTGATAATAATAATAATAATAATAATAATAATAATAGCAATGATAATAATATGCTGATGATAATAATGATAACAATAATAAAAAATAATGATAATAAAATAACGGTAATAATTATAATAACAACAATAATAATTATTATTATTATGATAATAACAAAATAGGAGAGGAAGAAGAAAAAAAGAAGTGAAAACAAAACAGCAACCATAACGATGTATATTAAACCTTGAATATATAAAGTAATTTGTGATGTGCATGAGAGACAATTCTGCAAGTTACTAAAAAAAAGGTTACTCGTAAGTTGAACGCAACGCCAAGAAATAATTGTTTTCAATATCAGTAAGTGAAAGAACAGTCCAGTGTTTATGTGTATTGTTAAATGACGTTATTGCTTACAAAAAACATACGGGTTATTCGGTGATGCAGATCTGAAGCAACTTATATTTATATGGGCGTCTTCTGTAACGTCCTTAACTCTTAATACCGTATTTAGTTTAATCCTAATCCACTGAAGTTCATGACGGGCACGTGACGTAACAGTACATGATTGGTGGGATTAACTTGTCCCTTCTGCGCATGTGCAGGATTTAAAAATGAGCTTAAAATAAAACCTGGTCCAGAGGTGTATTAAAAGTTGATCCTGGACGCTGCCAACGCGCATGCGCACTCGGGACCTGGATTAAACTTTAATACTGGATTAACTTTCATGGCACGTACAGAAGACGCCCATAGACAGAAATACGTGGTAACATAAAAATGCCTGACCAGTGTAGTGCTGTAAGTAATTTAAAATATGTGTCTACTATATACAATAGTTGTGCCAAATACTTTGCTGTACGTTTAAACCAACAGAAACATGTAAACATGTCCGTATTGATACACCTATAGTTGCGTTAACTTCATGATTTTAATAGTGTCTTGTCGACAAATCAACGGTCGATACTATAATTTTATTAAATTATATTAGATTAAAATTAGTGTTACATTTATAATTACTGATCTTAAAATGTTTTTTTTATTATCATTACCATCATTACTGTTTGATGAATATTATTAGTAGTTATTGTCATTTCTATTGTTGCAAATAGTTAATATTACCTTTAGAGGTACTTCGGCATCACTACAGCCAAAATGAGCTAGAAGTAAAATCTCTTGAGAATCTTAAAAACACTAAAACATCGAGTAAAAATCGATTCGTCCAGAGTAAAGCCACTCACTTGAAGTGGAAGATGCCGGCGTACATGTGTGTGAATCCC